AAAAAAAAAAAAAAAAAAAGGTGATGATATGTAAGTTATGAAATTAAAAATGCCATTCACAGAATTTTAAATGTTTATAAAATATTATTTATATTTTGTATAATCTTGAAAAAAATTCAAAGGACATTATATAGAGGATTGTTAATTTATGGTAAATCCAAAAAATGAAATTATCTTCATCTACATAAAATGTGATTGTTTAATGTATATATTGACTTGGGAAAATATCCTGTATATTAAGTGAAAAAGAACAACATGAGAAAATTCATTCTGTTCTCAGTAGAAAAATATAGACTCTACAATTATCAGTAAAGGATTAATTAATTAATTGATTAATTAATTAATTTATTTATTTATTTGAGTTGGAGTCTCACTCTGTCGCCCAGACTGGAGTGCAGTAGCTGCTCCCGGTCACCGCAGCCTCGACCTGCTGGGCTCCGGCGATCCTTCCTTCTCAGCTTTTCAAGTAGCCGGAACTACAGGTGCGCGCTACCATGTCCGGCTAATTTTTGATTTATTGTAGAGACGAGGTCTCACCAAGTTGCCCAGGCGAGTCTCGAACCCGCGGGCTCAGGCAATCCACTCATCTCAGCCTCCCAAAGCGTGGGATTACAGGCTGAGCCACTGAGCTTGGCTGAGACTTTGATCTTAACCCTCCGTGAACCAGCTGTGGTGACTGCAGAAGAGTTTCTGACTGCTCAGCATCAATCTTTTTTTTTTTTTTTTTTTTTTTTTTGAGTTGGAGTCTCACTCTGTTGTCCAGACTGGAGTGCAGTGGCCACTCCCGGCCACCACAGCCTCCACCTGCTGGGCTCTGGCGATCCTTCCGCCTCAGCCTTCCAAGTAGCTGGAACTACAGGCGTGCGCTACCACCCCCAGCTAATTTTTGATTTATTGTAGAGATGAGGTCTCGCCAAGTTGCCCAGGCGGGTCTCGAACCCGCGGGCACAGGCAATCCACTCACCTCAGCCTCCCAAAGCGCGGGATTACAGGCTGAGCCACCGAGCCCGGCTCAGCATCAATCTTAAATGGCAACAACGATTGAGAATGGAACCCATGTGCTAGCAGCCAACAGATAACTAGGGCTCATTCACTTATAAAGGAATATGGGAGGATTTTACTAATAGAACAAATTAGGTATAGACTCTTCTCTGATGCAGATGCTAATCTAACAAGTTTTTAGACAGCAGTCAGGTAAATTAACAGCAATTTCTGGCACGCTTTTTTGCACAGCATAATGGTTATTTATATAACAGTATCACTGCTCTTCCTCACACCCACACACTCCTCCAAAGCAGTTTCTTTTTTGGCAGTGATGGCAGTAGAGAGGGGACAAGACAATTTAATTCTAATATTTTGTTCCATATGCAAAATTGGTTTTATAATATGAATTTACCTCAGGGAATCATCCATTGTTTTAATTCTTCATTTGAGATGCTGCATGGGCTTTTTGGAAACACAAATTGGGCAATCATAGTCATCACCAAACTTATCTTTCTAAAAGCTAGCAACTAGCCCAGAACAGTCAGAAAAAAGGAATACTGCTTGGAATGTAAAAACGTAAGTTCTTCCAAAGTTTAAGAAAATTAAAAAGTAGCTTAAGACACTCAACAATTTACATCAATTGATTTCAAGACTCAGAATATTCTGTTGTATATTCTTACTTGTCTCCCCAATTCTCCAAAGTCCTTACCTAAAGAAATGAAGTCCTAGCACTTCGAATTAGATGTGTCTAAGGCAATCAAGAGTTGTGGTTCAAATTTTGGATGCATTTTTGAAACAAATGATGTAATGATTCTCTCCTCTCTTGCTTTTCCTCCTCCTCCTTCTGCACCACTTAAAGCACAAGGTGTTATTCTTTGCCCTAAGGGAAGACATTTCGCTAACTCAGAACCACAAAACTACTACTGTATGAACAGTTTATTTCTTAGTTGGATGAATTCTTATTTCAAATGATCACAATTTCATGAAGGTAGTCATAAATCTGAATGGATCTATAAATTTTGTGGGAGAGGACTAGGCACCAACTATTTAAATCCTGCCCTTGTCCTGGTTATCTTTTAATTTTTTGCCATCTATTCAACCATTTATCCTTGAACACATTCTGGCTATCAGCCTCTTGACTATATCACGGAGCAAGAACGTTTCAAAGACAAATGGGTAGATGCTGCCATGAAATCAGCAGCCAGCTGCTGTACAATGCCTTGCATTACGATGCTCCTAACATGAATCAGATGCTGTTTGAAATAAGGCAGGAAAAATTAGCACAGAAAAGGCACCAGAACCAGATATGAAGCAGCAAACTGCATCTACATACATGGCAAGAGGAGGCTGCTCACACAAATGCTGCTCTCCCTCCAAACTCCTGAAGTGTCACAGTTTCTTAGTGCTTCTGTAGGAGATAACTATCCTGTTTTCCTTCTCCACCCCAGTCTTTGCCCTTGGGTTTGCCATGAGATCGCAAGTGTCTACAGGTTCTTGTCCTGGCTGTCCTTTCACCACCGCA